TGTCCTGAAGTTGAAGTGGTAGCAGTCGGCTCTCTGATGTTATTGAGCGAAGAACCTCTCACACCAGTGGTGTTCTGTTGCTAATTACGTGAGCGTGTAACAAGAGGAGGACTCAGGGAAGTGTGGAGGTTCCGCGAGACTGGCAACCGGATGTTATTGGTAGAGGTTTTTATACAAATGTGTGAGATTTATTTTTCATCTCCACAATATATTTGTAGCTACACTATGTTAGAAGGTTGTTAAGAAGCATGAAAACATGTTTTCTTTCCGTTGCAGCTTTAAACGTATGTAATCTTTCCATAAAACCCACTTCACCAACTCTATCCCTTTAAGTTTTTTCCCTCTCATAAAGCTCTTAGCAGACGTAAAAATGGGCATCCTGGTTAAGTTTGTTCCACTGATTAAAAAAAGTTTTCCACACCAGTTAATCTTGTACACCTCAAACACGTTTTTAGCCCTGTTTTGACAGAAGCAGTCACTCCCAGAACCCACAGCCCATCGTGCTTTCACTTAGCCAGGACCCATGACTGCACCACTTCCCCCTGTGACTAAACCGCCACAGTGACCACGGTCCGCTCCAGCCAACTGGGCTTTAGATGTGAGATTACAAGGGTTGTAGTTATGAATTAGGCCCTGGAGAATGTTATCAGCCCACACACACACACACACACACACACACACACACACACACACACACACACACACACACACACACACACACACACACACACACACACACACACACACACACACACACACACAGAGTGAAATACCCACATTACAAGTTGGGTCAAGCCAGCCGACCCTTTGCCGTGTTTTTCTCATCCTGTTGGCGACCTGTGGTGGCTGAGTAGTAAGCTCTGAGAAGAATGAGTAATGCTGCTTTGAGTCATTTTCTAGCTACTGTTGTAAAAGAAATGCAGAACATTTGTAGACAGATTTTTACGTAAAGCTGTAAATATTTGGACGACTGTCAGTCATAGATCATTAGATTGAAAGCAGTTCTTTGTGTTTCTGTGAGGATCTGAACTCTTGAAATGGTTTGTTGCTAAATAATTGAATTAGCTAAGAAGCTCAATACTAACTAGACGATACTCGACTTTTTCCTTCTAGAAAAGTAAGTGCTGATTCATACATTGCCATCCTGTTTATAACCCAAGGAAACATCAACGAATAAAGTCAAAACTGTTGCATCCTGAAGGGAAACTGATTGTAACGCTGCAGCAGGACTGATTTTAAAGCCACAGCTAGACATCCAATTGAACCAAAGTGAGCAGTGTGTGGGAAAAGACATCACATCATCTCGGTGGCAGCGCCTCTGCCTCTGGTCACATTACACCCAGAACACACTGGCACCATCTCAAGTTCCTCACTGGTCTGCCTTTAGCTCGGTCTCAGGTCTGGAGCCAAGAATAATGTTGTTGACCGTTTAGAGTAACACAAGTGCTGCATGTCATGTCTGTACAAACACTCGTAACGCCGGTGTACCTGTGATTCTTTACATGGAGAGATGTAAATATTAATATGCCTTTGTCATCATCTTTTGGTTTTATTTGCTGCACTTTAACTTGGCAGTTCTTCTGGAATTGAAGTGACTGATTGGGAATTCCCAGAATAGTTCCTGACAGCCCGTCGGAGAAGGGGAAGGAAGATATTTGCACTGTTGTGGGTTGTTTGTTTTTGTGGAGTGCCTTAAAATGTTTGAGTTTGAGAGGAAGCTTCTAATATCTGCACTTGTGGCCACTTTGTACAAAAGGTTTCTGTGTTTGTGTGTGTGGCACTCATTTCTGAAGTAAAAAAGAATTCTGTAAAATGCTCATCCATTTGGATACCAATAACAATTTTCCAAACTTTATTTTATATGTTGACGTGAAACTTGCCAAAGATCAGTTTGACCATTTTCCAGTCTGCTGTTTGTGTTTTATTGCTGCTGATATGGAGGAAGCCAAGTTTAGAAAGATTATAAACCACCCTAAAATCATCCTAAAATATGCATCCTTTTACTTCGCGCAGGTGGAGATGTGCATGAGGCTTAAACACAAATCAACTTTTTGTCTTTTATCTTCTATATCCTGCTTCCTGGAGGACTATAAAAAAGACCCGATAAGGATGAGACTTGATCTGAAAGCAGCTTGTTTTTTTTAACTGACGTCCATGCTGGATGTTCTGACCCTGAATTATGGCTCTGGTATTGGTCTGTCCTCGTCTGAACCTGCAGGTCCTAAACCAGGCAGGCTAGCCAGTTCAGATTGAGATGATGAGATGAACAGAGGACCAGTTCCTCCTAGGATATCAGATGCTGCAGGCATTGTGTGTGTGTGTGTGTGTGTGTGTGTTTTAAAGCTGAGCTCTTGAATGTGTAACAATATTTCCAGTGTTCCCTGGTGGAAGAAATCTGCACAGTAGAGAGAGAGAGACTTTAGAGAACATTTAATTTGATATCATTGCTGCACCATGTCCCCTTGGAGCATGCAACAGCTGCTATAGACTGAGAATCTGGCTGCATGGTGGAGCAGCTGGTAGCACTGTTGTCTCACAGCGAGAAGGTTGCTGGTTAGAGTCTCAGCTGTGGCTCATGTTCTCCCCATACAGGCATTTGTTTAGGTTAGGTTAGGCTAAAACTGTAAGTCGCTAAATGAATAAACAGACTGAGGGTGCATTCAGATAAGCTTCTGACCATAAAAACTAATCCTGTTCTGTTTTAATCAGGATTTTATTGCAGCAGCATCACTATAGATGAGCTCTTTTACCTCAGAGCTGGATGTTTGTGTGGGAGCTCTGCTAGGCTGCATGTTAGCTCTGCATTAGCCTCCTCGTAGCATGCTTGCATGTTTGTAGGCAGCGCTGGTGAAGGGTGGAGTCGGGGAGGGGTGTTTTCCCAGTTCAGACACAGGGCTTTGGACAGCTCTAAGTGCTTCACAGAGGAATTTGTTTACTTGTGGTGGCGCTACAAATAACTGCAGGGTTTATATAGAGCAAAAAAATAAAACAGAAACACTACTTCCTCTTCAGGCAGCCATACAACATAAACAGAGCAGTGAGGGGAAATGCTAGGCCGTCTTATTAAAGCACAACCACTACACATGTTCCACACGGCCACATGGATCCCATTACTCATTGAAGAGCCCCCCCCCCCCCCCCCCCCCCCCCCCATACGGCCTGTTGGCCCTTGTTTCCCTATTCTTACGTTGGTAATTTATCCAAATCTGACTTTATTAGATCCTAAGTACATGTTATTAATCAGCCTCGGAGTTTCTGTTTTGTAACATTGTAATGTAACTTGTGCCACACTTAACTGGTTGGGTTTTAATGGGCCCTAGGCCTTTTTTTTAAAGAAATCTCCTCAAAAATGACATGCCCGCATTTTATTGCATATATTTCTATAACCACAACGTCTATTTGATTAATTTTGGCCTATTTGTAAAAGGAAAAGGATGTGTAAATATTAGTGTATGTGTCACTGATGAAGTGTAAATGACATGGATCATTGTAGAAAAGTTGATTTATGTTTTTCTTTCTAGCCCGAGAAAAATTAATTGAATTTAGGATGAATTTCTCTTTAGAAAAAGGCAGCAGTAGCTTCAAACCTCAGTGAATTCATAGTCTTGCATCTTCACATTAGCTGTGCAAAGTGTGAGCTTGATGAAGTAAAGAACAACAATTTTACAGAGGTTTATATACTGACACTTAAGGAGAGGTCACCAATGGCACAATTTTCTTTGTCATTTGCCTTTTAAAGTTAATGTCCCATTACTTCATCAAACACTGGTGAAATTCATCTCCACATTTGACTCATCCCCATGGGGAGTGGTGAGCTGCAGCAGTGGCTACGCTTGGGAACTATTTGGTGGTTTAACCCCCCCATTCCAACCCCTTAAAGCTAAGTGTCAAGCAGGGAGGCATTGGGACCCATTTTTAAAGTCGTTAGTATGACCCGACAACGATTTGAACCCCAATCTCCCAGTCCCAGGGCAGACAGTCTACCACTAGGCCACTGAGAAGGTATTTTCCCTTGTATAATAATATATTTAAAAAAATGTTGTGACTAAATTGATTCTAAACAATCACATTCAATAGTTTTCTTTCTTTCATTTGGAATTTTTTAAATTTTGATCCCTAAATCTGGAGGTATTCCAGATATACCCTTCTGTAGCCATGACTGATTGGTCAATTTGGATGATGGGCACCTTTTTTGGATTGTAAGTGCTAACAGAATGAAATTTTCTCATCAAAATGAGATTGACAATATTGTCAGCCAACGAGATTCCTCAAAACACAAACATGCACAAACAAGGAAGTAGTCCAGTCATCAGGGATTTTTGAGTTCTAAGCCTCTGTTTTTGCTCATAATTTCTGTTTCCTGTCAACCATATTCCATTTTGAGCTAGTAGTAGATGATGAGAAAGTCTGGATAAAACAAACTTTTCAAGGCAAAACCTTAAATATAATAAACTTTTTTCGAGCCTTGTTGGGAAAAATACATTTAGGCTTTTGTTTTATTTGACTTATACCTCTGTGAAACAGGTGTAGAATGTTATGAGGCATATATTTAGAATCAGCTGGGCCTCAGCTTCAAAAGGTTGGGTTGAATGTGTGTACAATGAAAAGACTAGCAGTGCTTAAGACCGAAGAAATGTGGCAAAAGTACAGTGGTGCTGTATAAAGAGCGACTTCTTGTGATTCATTTAGTTCTAGTTGTAGTTGTGTTTGGAGCATGTACAAAAGGGTTACATGGTCTTGTAGCCAAGGCTCTGCAGTTTCTTTAGGTGTGCCGCTTGATGATATTTATTGATGAATGGGGCATGAAGTTTGCTGCTAAACGTTTCTTGTCCCCCAAAGCCCCCCCCCCCAAAAAAAAGAGACCAAATAATCAGCATCAACTAAACGAAATCATCCACACCCAAATTCAACCCAGAAATGACCCCCAACAACTGTGTAATGTAGCCACGTTTATATTAATTCACTTTCATTTCATCTTCATGTCATTTGTTTCCTTACAGGCATTTGGGAATGCAAAGACGGCTCATAATAACAACTCCAGTCGTTTTGGGAAGTTTATCCAGGTGAACTACCAGGAGAGTGGCACCGTGAGAGGGTAAGAACCCATTAAGGAATATTGATTAGGTATGTTTAAAAGGTGATTTTGTTGACTTATTTTTGTGGTACTGACTGTGTATTTTTTACAGAGCATATGTGGAGAAATATCTCCTGGAAAAGTCCAGACTGGTCTATCAAGAACACAATGAGAGGTGAGCATTTAAATCGAAAAGGAAAAGAAAACTGTGTGACAAAAGATGTATTTTATTTCTGTTGGTAAGAAAGCAAAAAATGTGGATAATATTTCAAATCGGCACACATAATTGTTCCTATTTCAGCAGTTTTATTAGTTTTATTTGTTGATTTAATTTCATGATCCTTGAGCCGCTCTTTGCTGAAAAGATTGTTCTGGAGTTTAGTTCCTGGTAAAGTTGTCGTGTGAATGGGTTAAACTCTGAGTTTGTTGATTTGTGACGAGAGCACAGCTGTGAGGGTGACCTGGATAACGTGGAGAGGTTTGATCTCACCAGAGACGGCTCACAGCTGGACTCCTTTGCTACTCTGACGGTCTCACAAATGCTTGTGTTTCTGTTCGTGTGGATTTGAAGCAGACCTTGGTTATAATTTACTCGTTCTAACTCCTCTTTACTCTGTACAGTTAGGCTATCGTGGCACGAGGTGGGTAGTTGGCTACAGGATGTGTTGGTGACACCAGATCATTTATTTACTTTTTACTACCCAGAATTCAAAGTGTTTTAGTTTTTCGAAATGCACAGTAAATCAATACTTGTATGCCAATTTCTTGTTTATATGAAGTTGTGCTAATAGTAACCGGCTGACATTCTTTCTAGTTGAACCTGTTTATGTTCACAGACTGTTGGTGACTATATCAAAGGATTGTATGCGGTTCTTACAGGCGCATGGAATCTTTAACTTCCTGAGATTGGGTCATTTTTAGGCTGAATTCCATTTCCCTATAACTTTGAGATTCCCGTTGATGGTATTTAATGGGTGATGGGCTGGTAAGGGATAAATATTCCTAAAGAACGTAGAACAACGTCATGGTCGACTTTTCCTTTTGTACGAACAGACTCGACTGGTTTTGTTGGTATCGCACATTGCTTCTTTGTAGTTGTTATGGAAGATCGCATCAATACTGAAAAATAACTTACCATTCTAGATGTTTTAGAGGTTGGAGCTGCTTTCACTGGTGTCATGTAGATTCAGACAACCCTACCATGTCTCCTTTGTCCTAAAAGAACTGGAATGTGGCCAAGTTTAGTCAAAAATGTGTGAAATATTAGCCTAGTGAGCTAGACCAAATTCTTGCCTTGCTAAGTTTAATCTAGGAACGCTCCATTGGAACCTCCGCAGCCCCTAGCAGCATTCTGGCCAGCCAATCGTGGCTCTCTATAGGGGTTTCAAACCCATAGAGTGCTGTGATTGGCCCATTACAATTACAATATTTTTACTCAAAAAGGAGTACTCAATAGGCGGCCCACGATGTGTGCCACCTATTGAGTACCACTGAGTTAGTTGAACTGCTTGTAATTTTCATAAAACGGCCATCAAAATCTACATTACAAACAATGATCTAATAATACAGTGATGCACATATATATAAAGGTCAAAGTGCAATGTGTAATTATTTTACACATGGTGCAGATTTCTTCCACTTAGAGTGAATTCAGACCTTGATACTATACAGAGAAAATTTAGTCACAAAATATCATGCCCTCATTTTACTTAATTTAGTCACACTTTTGACACATTTGTCATTTTTCCAACTTCTGAAAACTAAGTTGATAAGCAACTGAAGGATGTTTAAAATTCCAGCAAGACAGGAAGGAGGACCAGCTACTTGGGCAAGAGAATTAAGAACCCTCACAAATGTTTCAAAGCATTTAGAAAATGCCTTTTCCTTACAAAGAATGGCTGCTGTTTATTCATCAACCATATGCTGGCGAAGGTTCTCAGCCATCCAGGTCATGGTAATCCGAAGGGTTCAAATGAGGACAACTGGACCGAGGAGCTTTCTTCCTTCTGACTGGAACATGGGAGACTCAAGCTTATAAACTGTTGTCTTTTGTTGTTTAACAAGCTGAAACTACTTATGAATACCCTCCTCTCTACCCATCAAGGAGACGTTGATGTCGTTCAGTCCTATTGTATTAGAATGATTGTTTGGATTAGATGCAGGAGCGTGAGATCTAGATTAAAACGGTTTTGGAATGAGGTGTAAAGCTGCATTATAGGTGTTGGAAAGGTGACATCTGAAGCCTCCTCTGTTTAATGTAGGTATTTCCCGTTTGACATAGTTTCCTTTACTCCTCTTCCAATCCATCTATCTTCTCTGTCCAGAATGTGTACTTTGTTATCTTCAAAGTTTCCTTCAGGTGTAAGTGGTCTGCAGATTCTTGATCACTATGTAAAGGTCTGGACTGTCCTCGCTACACTGGACTGCATAAGCTTCAGTGTGGGTGTTTTGTCTTTTGGATGGACACATTTCTGTCTGAGGGTGTTGAGTTTAAGGTTTACTGGGGCTCACTGAGACTGGGGATTGGGGGCGCAAGAAAAAAATCATAATAAAAGACAATGAACAAGTAAACTATTACGGTGAATGCAGTAATGGTTTACTTGTGAAAGTAAAACTGGCATGTTATTATGGTACTCAGATAACAATTCAGAATGCTTCACCACAACATGAGACTTGAGTAAAAAAATAATTCTAGTCAATTATTCTAGTTTGTGACTTTATTTGAAGTTTATATGAACTGTACATATGAAAAATAAACATTCAAATAAAATATCTGCACAACACAATTTGCTTTTTGTAGTCAACACACACACACACACACACACACACACGTAAGCAAAATCACTTCACCGATTGTTTTGATCTACTCACAATTTTCTTTAACCTTTTTACCAAGGGCGTCCGTTTGTTTTCAGAATTGCTGGGGACAGTAACCATACACTTGAGTGGGGTTTAAAAATTGCTGGGGACAATAAAGTAGGCTAGCACAGGGGGCGGCAATCCGCGGCTCTGGAGCCGCATGCGGCTCTTCCATCCATCTGATGCGGCTCTCTGTGCTCGTAAAATAATAAATGGATATTTAAATAAAATGCTTTATATTTTACTGCATTAATTTTACATCTGTATGCCAATTCTAAATGTAAAGATTATCTGCGTAAACCTGAACAGGTCCAACCCGGTCTGCGGTGGTTGACCGGTCACGCTTGTGCGTAATCATATCGGCACTTTATGAGCTGAAGAGGATTCTCCTCAGACAGCTCCTGGATGTGTCGCCACATTGGAGACAGGAACAAGCACTATTCAGCCAAAGTTTCATAATCGGGGAACATTTTCTAAGTGACAAGTCTCTCTGAGAGACAGGGTTTGGAAAACACTCACTTCAGTGGGAGGAATCTTCCCGCATGCGCACTGCATGGTTCTCTGCGTGGCTCTGGGGTTAATCAAGTTTAATTGTTTTTCTTTGCAACAATCTTCACAGGAAGGCAAAACAGTTAAACGGCAGGTTACAGATATTTCCATTTGACTGTTTATTTTGACAGATGAACTCAAGGATGTTGCTTGGTTTGAAAGAATTACCCAGACGCACACGGATGCGCATGGATGAGCTGACATTTTAATCGTTAACGCACATCGCGGAGGTAAAATATTCCCATCAGAACATCAGAGCTTTATACTGGACACTGTGTTCAGCGCGGCTCGGAGCGCCCACGGTGGACAGTGAGCTGAAGATCTGGGGTTCCAGTGCAGTGCAGAACCACGCGCATGCGATAGGATTTCCTCCCACTGAAACAGTCTGGAAACCCGGTCTCTCTGAGGGATGTGTCACTTGGAAAAATGCTCTTTTTATGAAATTATGAAACTTTGGCTGAACAGCGCTTGTTCCCGTCTCTAATATGGAGACGCATGACGCATAGAGACATTTGATCACGCACAAAGTTCATGTGGAGCAGAAGCGGTCGGGCCACGGCAGGTGAAATGTTCCTAGCCTACATGAAGTGAAATTGTTTAATTGTAACATTAATATGTTACTGGACACGCTGGTCTGGTTGGTTAGACCAGTGTTTGAAGTGGAAAACACACACACACACACACGCACGCACACGCGCACGCGCACACGCACACGCACACACACACACACAATTAAAATAATGCTAATAGCGTGGACTAGAAGACAGGTGATGGTTTACGTAGTTAAATGATGATCAGGCTGCTGTAAAATGTAATCTCCATCCACATCCTGACACAATTATCCTCTATTCTTTCTCTATTTGCTCTGCTCTTGTCTGGGCTGATCAGCTGATGGTGCGCCTAACTAGCGGCTGATGCACATTTTACGCATTTGGAGAGGTGGGCTGGATGCTTTGCGTTTACTGGAAGATGGTCCACTTAATGCATGGGTGTAGACTACATATTAATGACAAATGAATGAAAATTAAATTGTGAGTTTTTACTTCATATTTTATAAATAAAAAGGACGGGGGAACACATTTATGACGTCTTTTTAAACTAAATTTTCTAGCGCGACCTGCCTGCTTCACTTAAGTCACTGCTTATTAAGGTCCGTCCAAAATTACCGTGGGAAACGGGTAATAATAGCTCTTTGATGGGAACAGGTTGCCGACCCCTGGTATAGGTTCTGAACTGGTAAAACAAAAATCCTCATCAGCAGGTGTTTTTGAAAGTGGGGGGGACACAGCTGCCAATCACAAATTTTGCCGGGGACATGTCCCCGGCGTCCCCGGTTAAAATGACGCCTATGCTTTTTACTGAGTTCCTTGTCGAGTATATTAGCCAATGTTGTATTAGCTTTCACAGCCCTCTGGTAGTCCCTCCACGCTATCATTGAATCCTTATGCCTTTCAGACTTTGCGTGTACTGAACCCCCACCCCCCACCCCCCTCTCAGTTGCGTTTTTCCAGTTCCTAAATCCACATTGAGTCATACACACTTCCTGAGCTACTTGGTGGGCTAAAATGTCTGTATGCATGACAATAAGTAGAGTCCATAGTAACAGAATATTCAACCCAAGGATGACTTTCATACCAGCTTGGCTGAAAGCTGCGTCTACTGTCTCCTGTTAATGTCACTGGAAATGTCCTCAAACTAGGCTGAGTAGGTGGGTCATCCTTGCACTTGCTGATATCTGAAAGAAAATAAATGTTAGCATGAGGATAAAAGTCATAATTAGTTAATTCAGAGTCTTATTTTATCTATTTATTAAATATAAACAACTGAAATTTTGGTCCAGAGTCAGCATGCCTCAAATGCATTTTACACACAATATGAGCTGCACTCACAGAGGGGTTGTTCAACACCCACAAACCTGACGGTAGTTTACACGGTGCACATGACAGAAGATGTCCCTCTTTTTGCTCCTCACTCTCTCCCTCACAGCCTACATCTTCCTCCTCACTCTCAGGGTGGATAGCCTCTGACCTCTCTGGTTCCTCTCCAACCAACTCCTCCTCCTCTCTTTCATCCTGCTTCTCAGCTCCCTCGTGACTTTCATCCTCTCTCTGTCTACGCTGTTCTTTATTAACAGCGGTAAAAAAGGACAAAATGTCCCTTTTTCTTTTCATGGCCGCTGATGCTTCCAGTCAGTGCTGCGAGAAAGTCATAGATAAATGAATACTGTGATCTAATCTCAACGTGTCTAAGGCTTAAAATGCAGCACCTTCATGTTTATTTTACAGTTAATGTTACAAAGGAAAAACAAATCAGTATTAACTGTGGATAGACTCGGTTAGGAACTTAAAAGTAAATGACAGAAACGCGCGACTACGATCAAAACACTGATGTCAGGAAAATAAACTGTATTGCCAACCTTCGTCTCTTAGCGTCTTTTCCGTTAGTCGTCCTCAAGAACTTCTTCGGGTCCCATTTAAACTATTTTTAATCATTTATTCAAAAATCCACCGCGTAAACCGTTCTGTCCACAGAGTGTGCTGCGCTTTAAAGGCTCCGTGTGAAACGCTGCAGCGCATTAGTTCCCATCTCCGAGGCAGCGCAGGAAAAAAAAAACTCCGATCTCTTCAGCACAGGGGCCATAACAGGGGCCAGGGTCAGTTCTACAGGGGCCCAGGCCCCTGTGGGCCCCCGTTTAAAACCGCCATTGTATGGAATGATGGAGCCTTTGTTCCTGTTGTCCTTTTCTTTATTTGCTGATTATTTTCCCAGACTTCTTTGTTGGTTCCACAAAGACACAGTTAGGGTTTCTGCAGTTAGGAGACCTTTCTGAGCTTTTTCACCAACCATATTTCTGTTTATTCCTTTTATTTATTTATTTTTTATTTTTTTTTGTAGAAATTACCACGTGTTTTACTACCTGCTGGCAGGAGCAAGTGAAGAAGAGAGGAACGTCTTTCACCTGAAGAAGCCTGAAGAATATCATTACCTCAATCAGGTAAAAGGTTTCAAAACGGATGAAAAAGCTTCCTGATCTACTTTTACCATGTTTTGTTTGTTTGTGTGGCTTTCAGGATTTCTGCCATCAGGGTGTCATTCTCAGTGTCCAGAAACAGGAAACATGAACTCATGACAGAAAGGAAACACTGTTGATGGTTTTTCAACACGTACTAGTTATTCTTCCCCTCATAAACACAACAGATCTGTTCTATTATAATTCTTTCAACTGGTTCAGAGACACTTTTTTCATCATGAAGGTATTTGTGGCAACCGTGTGTGTGTGTGTGTGTGTGTGTGTGTGTGTGTGTGTGTGTGTGTGTACGCTTTCTGTTTTACAACTATGCACTGACATGCACACAAGCAGTGTAAAGGGGAAAGAGTACATTTGTCCTTATGAGCACAGAAAAAACAGGTTTAACATGAGCAATGAGACAAAACCACATTGAACGCTACAGGGTGTATGGAATGTGTATGTTGTATAAAACGTGCTGCGTCGTTGCCTCTGGGCTTTCACAGTCACGCCATGATGACCGAAGACCCGTCTACTCCTCCAGAATCCTTCCACCTACAGAGGAGAGCCGGGAATTCCTTCCATTCTTCCCAGCCACTCTTGTGCACGTGTAAACTCTAAGTGCATGCTCATGGTGCTGATTTCACAGCCTCACCCTTTCACTCATGGCAACTCGATTACAAATGAAAGACTTGCAGTTGTGTTCATGCTTAAAGGTGGAATTTGTGAGAATGACATCTGTGATCAAATTAGGTAACTACAGTCCATTTTCCTAAGCAATAAAATCAGTGTCATGGCTGTTGCCAGTGACTGATCAGCACCAGAAGATTCTAGTTGACAAAGACGAGTCAAACACAGTAAGTTGATAAGTAGATAAATACATTGTTATATCTGGTTTTAGCACTTGGGTGTTTTCTGGCAGGGAACACTTACTACACGTATTACAGTAATACCTCCAGCATTAGAGGAAGTGTTGTTGCTTCCTGTTATAGAGACCTTAAGTCACGTCCATCAGTTTCTGGACCATGGGTCCCTGAAAGGACCAAAAATGAATGCAAGTCAATGTGGCAAAAACCATATTTTCTAATCTCGTTTGTTATGTACTTCTTAAGAGTACAAGAAATAACTTCTGGGTTGCTCCAGTTTCCTGATTGAGACATTAGATTTTTTTGTGATAGTTTCACAGTAGACTTTAACAAATTGAACCTTCACTAATTTTTAGAACAATATTATTAACCTGGAATGTTGCTTTTGTTGCTCCCATTACATCTGTTGCATTCAGCTGATTTAAAAAGACTTACTAAAAAATTTAACCCTTTTCCTGAAAGTGACATTCTTGAGGAATTGATATTTTTTCTGATAATTTACCCAAACGTCACTGTGGCTAATAGTTTTTCTTGGTTGATCAATAAGAATATAAAGCGGGTACGGGAAGTACTCAGACCCCCATCAATTTTTCACGCTTTGTGCCTCCAAAATGCTTAAATGGAAGATATTTGGGATGACCAGAACTCTTCCTAAAGCAGGCTGTCTAGCCAAACTGAGCTACAGGGGAAGAAGAGCCTTGGTGAGAGAGGTAAAGAAGAACCCAATTTTCACTGTGGCAGAGCTCCAGAGATGCAGTCAGGAGATGGGAGAAAGTTGTAGAAAGTCAACAATCACTGTAGTCCTCCACCAGTCAGGGCTTTCTGGCAGAGCAGCCTATTGGAAGCCTCTCCTCAGTGCAAGATGCATGAAAGCTTGCATGACGTTTGCTAAAAGACACCTGAAGGACTCTGAGATGGTGAGAAATAAGGTTCTCTGGTCTGATGAGACCAAGATGGAACTTTTTGGCCTTAATTCTAAGTGGTATGTGTGGAGAAAACAACACACTGCTCATCATTTATCCAATACAGTCCCCACAGTGAAGCACGGTGGTGGCAGCATCATGCTGTGTGGGTGTTTTTTAGCTGCAGAGACAGGGCGACTGGTTGCAATCAAGGAAAGGATGAATGCGGTCAAGAACAGGGATATCCTGGACAAGAGCCTTCTCCAGAGTGCTCAGGACCTCAGACTGGGCCGAATGTTTACTTTCCAACATGACAATGACCCTAAGCACACAGCTAAAATAACAGAGTGGCTTCACTGCAACTCTGACTGCTCTTGAATGGTCCAGCCAGAGCCCTGACTTAAACCCAGTAGAGCATCTCTGGAGAGACCTAAAAATGGCTGTCCACCAACGTTCACCATCCAGCCTGACAGCACTGGAGAGGATGAGCAAGGAGGAATGGCAGAGGATCCCCAAATCTAGGTGTAAGAAACTTGTTGCATTGTTACTAAGAAGACTCATGGCTGTATTAGCTCAAACGGGTGCTTCTACTAAAGACCGAGCAAAGGGTCTGAATACTTAGGACCATGTGATATTTCAGTTTTTCTTATGTAATAACTCTGCATACATTAAAAAAGTGTGTTTTTCTGTCAATATGGGGTGCAGTGTGTACATTATTGAGGAAAAATTAATTTACTTGATTTTAGCAAATGGCTGCAATATAAGAGTGGAAAATTGATGGGGGTCTGAATACTTTCTGTACCCTCTGTATGTTGCATTTCTGCATTTTCTTCCCTGTTCTCATTTTTAAACTTTAGTGAAACAGTTGTTTCTGTGTTAGAATACTTTTTGTGAGCAAACATCTCTGTCATGAGTATTTCTTTAATTTCTAACTTGGATCTTGACGTTTGGCTCCAGCTGTAACAATGCTGTCTGCACATAACAATGTTAAATGTGTTTTGATTTGAATGCTGCTGTCTAACCCTGCTGATCGCCGCCTGTGACCTCTGCCCTAACATTTCCAGATGACAAAGACACCAAGACAACTGCACTGGGACAGTTACTGTGAGAGCGAACCGGTCAGTATGCGTGCACATTTTTCTGCACATCTAGGAGAAAAGTAGCTTTAAGGTCACCTGATCACTTTCAGACAAAGCCACACTGTTTGGTTTTTTTTTTTTTTTTTTTTTTTTTTGCACAGTTGTACAGTCTCTTCCTTCCCTTTCCTGTGCTCATGTTGTTGCTTTTTGGACATTTCCTGGTTTGGTTTGACTGGTGGTTTATTTTAGCTCTTCGTTTTTGCTCTCCCTTGTCATATTGGTATTAGTCATTGTCCTGCTCACGGGAGCTGCTTGTGTTCTGTTCTTTTCATCATTGACCAGTGCAGCATTTCCAGTTTTGATCTGCAATTAAAACAATAAAAAAACACACCCTAAAAACACATTATTTAAATAAAAACAAATGCACCAACATACATTTTTTGTTTTTAAAAGTTAGACACACATTTCCTGCTGCAGAAATGCTGGATTGAAAGTTGTCAAGGATTGAAAAATATCTGTGATTTGTAGTGTTTTAAGCCTCTTTTGTTAACATGTTAATCATGGGTCTGCAACCTTTGCAAGAAACGTTCATGCATTTTTTTCTACAAATACAAATTACCCAGAGCTTCCAAGCTGCTTGAAGCTTCAAAGATAGATCATCTTTGAATTACTTAGTATGACCTACATAAAATAGACTTTTCCCTTCTCAAAACTGATATTTGGTTTTTGGTAATGAAAATGGATATTATTATTGTCCCTGTTATTCAGTTGTAGCTACAAAGAGCTACGTGTTACAGACCCCTGAACACACACTTGGGTTTCATTTTTTGTTTTGTTTTAAAGAAAAACTTTAAAAAGAGTGAGTTATAAACAACCCGCCCCCCCCCCCCCCCCAATATAATTTAGATCCTTTTCTTAACAAGTTAATTGAAGACAAAACGTGTGTTTTAATATCTTTAAACTGGTTTGATTTCAATACAGTTGCCAAATCTGGGTACCTCACACCCTTAAGACATTACATTAGCAACAGTAAACATATACTCATGTACAGTGTAAGAGCTGTAAGTCCGTCTGAGTTTAAGCAGGCACTTGAGACGGTAAAGAGAAATCAGTGTGATGTCTAACATGAGGAGTTTTTCCCTCCCTTTGTGGTTAAAATGGGATCTTTGTGGTTACATCAAAGCATCCTGTTCCAGTCTCAGTAAAGCTTATATATCCCTGTTGCAAACACCCAAATCCAGATTCATCCAGATGCTTACGATGTGTGTGGAGTTTTTGGTAACAGAGTAGTTTTATGTTGGAAATTCTGTGAATAGTGTTTTTTAAATGTGCTTTTTATGCTTTAAGTGTTAAAGGGATGATTGGGATCTTATGAAGTGGGTTTCTGTGTTGTGAGCTGTGAGTATCTTAGCTTGTTGTGGATGGCTCTTTAAGGTGTGGTTCACTGAAAAAACATTTTTTAATGATTATTTCTGATTAACAATCAGTCTCTCTGAGTTTTTCATGCAGGCTGAACATGAAAATAGTCTCCTACACCTATCTCCTGCATAAGCATCTTATAGAAAATAGATGGTAATTTTCTAGGTTCAGAAAATCCCCTCAGATCTACGTCACACTGTGAATTGGCGTTCTTGGACTCGCCAATCTTGACTCATGATGGGGAAGGCTGTTGCTAATGCTATCAGCAGTGGACGTCTAGACTAGTTTAAGCTAGCTGTTAGCATTAGCAACTTCAGGGTTGTGTTATGTGTGGAGATGAAACATCCACACTGTTGTGTTGCTGTTATCCAATCCGAGGCGAGATGTCCAAATATCAGGAAATAAGACTCCAAAACCCACCACCTGAAGCTCAGCTGTGATGTTGCAGACTTGGCCCTGCTGAAACAGGGTTTTGTGGGCTTTTATGTGCCCTGAGTACTGCCTGCAAGGCATTCATTCTAGAGATCACTGCAAATGTATTGATTAAATGAGTCATCCACTCCTCTAAACCATCTCAGTTTGGAGAAACGGAGATTCGTTCTGACTGGACAGATGAGCTAACAGCTATTCTGAACCGGAGACAAAAGAGGATCTCGGCCATCTTGAAACAACTTTGCTTTGGTTGGTAAATGATGAAATCTGAAGTGTTGCTGTTTATAATAATATTAATAATACTATTAATGCAAAGTAAACTGAAATGTTTGACTTTAGAAATGTATTTCATGACCTTATTGATTCACTTTGGTCTCAACTCTACCTGGACTATAGAATCCATGTCAAATTGGGCATAATGAATCTCCATTTAGCCAAACTTTTTCAAAGAACTATCAGCAAAAGGTAATATCAAGTAGTTTTTTTAATAAGAAACCCACTTATAGGAGGTGAATTCTTGAATCAAGTGTTATTCATGTTTTATTTAATGCTTAAATTAGCTACATTTATAAAGTACCTAAGCAAAGCTGAAATGTTCCCAGCGCGCTGACTTCCTGTGGAGTTTTTATAAAGGAGAATCCAGGCAATCTTTGCTGCTGTCCAGTGGTCATTCTGCACATCAAGCTGCATGTTTCACCCCCACATTCTTAACTATAGCCTTTTTTAGTCCGAGTCATTTATTTCGTCTCCTTCAGACAACTTTGGTGTTTTTGTTTCGGCTACAAGGTAAACTAAACGACTATTTTAGGCATCTTTGCTAGACATTCTGTAAACATTAGGGCACAGTGTATGTCAACAGGTTTTAGAGAAGACTAGACCTCACTGCAACTTGTCGTTAGCCCCTCTGGTTTCCAGGCCGCTGTGTAACAACAGTCGCTGTCCGGGTGTAAGATTGACAACACTCGGGTTGTGTTTTCTGCAGGACTGTTTCACTGTTGAAGGAGAAGACCTAAAGCATGACTTTGAGAGGCTTCAGCTGGCCATGGAGATGGTGGGATTTCTTCCTGCGACATGCAAACAGTAAGTGACCGAAAGCTGCAATTTTCATGTGATGAGATAGTCATCTGGGTCACCCACAGCAGAACATCCACCACATAAATATTCCTTAATGCTCTGTAATGCCATTGTCAAATGTACTCATTGACTAAAATCTGGTCTGATAAAGTCTTAAATCCCTTTTGTTAACCAGGTGTTTATACTTTAAAATCTTGAACAGGATCTTTTCTCTGTTGTCTGCCATTCTTCACCTGGGGAACATTCGCTACAAGAGGAAAACCTACAGGGATGATTCAATAGACATCTGTAACCCAGAGGTGCTGCCTGTGGTCTCAGAGCTGCTGGAGGTATGACAAACATGATGTCATTCAGACCATTTATTTCGACTCTTTCAGACAACTTTGGTGTTTTTGTTTCGGCTACAAGGTAAACTAAACAACTATGTGACTAATAGGAAACAAAATAATTGATTCATCATTAAATTATTTAAGAATCCATTAAAGGAGTTACAGTGGGGCAAAAAAGTATTTAGTCAGCCCCTGATTGTGCAAGTTCTCCCACTTAAAATGATGACAGAGGTCAGTAATTTACATCATAGGTACACTTCAACTGTGAGAGACAGAATGTGAAAAAAAAGATGAATTCACATGGCAGGATTTTTAAAGAATTTATTTGTAAATCAGGGTGGAAAATAAGTATTTGGTCACTTCAAACAAGGAAAGTCTCTGGCTCTCACAGACCTGTAACGTCTTCTTTAAGAAGCTTTTCTGTCCTCCACTCGTTACCTGTATTAATGGCACCTGTTTGAACTCATTATCTGTATAAAAGGCACCTGTCCACAGCCTCAAACAGTCAGACTCCAAACTCCACTATGGCCAACACCAAAGAGCTTTCGAAGGACACCAGGAAAAGAATTGTAGACCTGCACCAGACTGGGAAGAGTGAATCTACAATAGGCAAGCAGCTTGGTGTGAAAAAATCAACTGTGGGAGCAATTATCAGAAAATGGAAGACATACAAGACCACTGATAATCTCCCTCGATCTGGGGCTCCACGCAAGATCTCATACCGTGGGGTCAAAATGATCATGAGAACGGTGAGCAAGAATCCCAGAACCACACGGGGGGACCTGGTGAATGACCTGCAGAGAGCTGGGACCACAGTAACAAAGGTCACCATCAGTAACACACTACAACGGCAGGGAATCAAATCCTGCAGTGCCAGACGTGTTCCGCTGCTGAAGCCAGTGCATGTCCAGGCCCGTCTGAAGTTTGCCAGAGAGCACATGGATGATACAGCAGAGGATTGGGAGAATGTCATGTGGTCACATGAAACCAAAGTAGAACTTTTTGGTATAAACTCAACTCGTCGTATTTGGAGGAAGAAGAATACTGAGTTGCATCCCAAGAACACCGTACCTACTGTGAAGCATGGGGGTGGGAACATCATGCTTTGGGGCTGTTTTTCTGCTAAGGGGACAGGACGACTGATCCGTGTTAAGGACAGAATAAATGGGGCCATGTATCGTGAGATTCTGAGCCAAAACCTCCTTCCATCAGTGAGAGCTTTGAAGATGAAACGTGGCTGGGTCTTCCAACACGACAATGATCCCAAACACACCGCCCGGGCAACAAAGGAGTGGCTCCGTAAGAAGCATTTGAAAGTCCTGGAGTGGCCTAGCCAGTCTCCAGACCTCAACCCCATAGAAAATCTGTGGAGGGAGTTGAAAGTCCGTGTTGCTCGGCGACAGCCCCAAAACATCTCTGCTCTCGAGAAGATCTGCATGGAGGAATGGGCCAAAATACCAGCTACTGTGTGTGCAAACCTGGTAAAGACCTATAGTAATCGTTTGACCTCTGTTATTGCCAACAAAGGTTATGTTACAAAGTATTGAGTTGAATTTTTGATATTGACCAAATACTTATTTTCCACCCTGATTTACAAATAAATTCTTTAAAAATCCTGCCTTGGGAGTTCATGGATTTTTTTTCACATTCTGTCTCTCACAGTTGAAGTGTACCTATGATGTAAATTACTGACCTCTGTCATCATTTTAAGTGGGAGAACTTGCACAATCGGTGGCTGACTAAATACTTTTTTGGCCCCACTGTATTTTATAGAGTACGTTATTATAAAAAAAACGGTAAACTTGCAGACTGAACGTGAAAATGTTTTTCTAGCCCTATCTCCTGCATTAGCATCTGTTAGAAAAAGTCAGTGGAAGAGTAGCATTGCGGTTATCCAATCAAAGGCGAGATGTGCGAATATAAGGAAATAGAACTCCAAATCCAGCTGTTTTGCTCACCTCTTCTCTGGCGCCGGAGCTCCCCCCCCCACCCCCCACCCCCATAAGATCGACTCACAAGGCATTCGTTTATACTAGAGACCATTGCAGATGTATTGAAGAAACAAGTGAACTGGGTCTGTAAACGTCTGCTTCACCGTCATCACCAGGTTAAGGAGGAGATGCTGTTTGAAGCGCTGACAACGCGGAAGACCGTGACGGTGGGAGAGAAGCTGATCGTTCCCTACAAGCTGGCTGAGGTGAGACTGCAGCTGCTCTTCACTTTTCGAAACACCTCACAACCTTTACGGAAGTCACCAATTCAAAGCTGAAGGGCTGTGATTGGCTAGCTGCTGACCACAATGTTCTTGGGACTTTTTGAGGAAAATTGGGTAGCAACAGTGTTTTGTAGACCTTCACATGGCTGTCGTGGTTGTCCCTCAAACTTTATACAGAAGCCTGGAATCTATTAACCTGATGATTTCAGAAGTCTATTCTTCTACTTTGAGGAGGATGACTAGAACACTACAACCTGAAAAGTATGATGCGCTTAAACCTTTTCTAGTTTTTACTAAAAAGGAAATTCATGTCGTTTATTGAACATCGTTTCATATTAGCACCCAAATGTAATCTATAGTATAATTAATGTAACATATTTGCATACGTAGTTGTGGTTCCTGTCATTTCTCGTAAATTTATAATGAAACTCCAAAACCATGTTTTGGTGCTTGAAAGGAAAACATCTGAAATAAAGTTAAAAAGTTAAAGTCCCATTAGTTGTCACACACACTGATGTGTGTGCAAAATTTGTTCTCCGCATTTGACCCATCCCCTGGGGGAGCGGTGAGCTGCAGACACAGCCGCGCTCGGGAACCATTTGGTGGTTTAACCCCCCAATCCAACCCCTTAATGCTGAGTGTCAAGCAGGGAGGCATTGGGTCCCGTTTTTTCCAAAGTCTTTGGTATGACCCGACCAGGAATTGAACCCTGATCTCCCAGTCTCAGGGCGGACACTCTACCACTAGGCCACTGAGCTGGCCTACTTCATGAGACTATGAAGTAAAAACACCATTTTGACACTGTTGGCGTGTCATTCATCACTCCAGTCAGATGCTTGAGCTGAGCATGTTATTAAACGAGTTTGAATTTGACTCTGATGGTGGCGTCGACCCCGTAGGATCATGTTTGATGGTTGTTCAGATTTCATATTGCTGAGTCTTCTCACACTGCCTGAAGATAAAGCATACCAAACCTTCATTTTTGTTAACCAGAGCTAATGAGAATGTTTTATGCAACAAAAGGATCTGAACTGTAGTCGTGTCTCTTGAGTTTGACCTGGTTGTGTTTATGGGACAGCGTGCACCATCTCCGGCTCTCCTCCCGCTCCACTTGTAACTCCCTCCATCTGCAGCCTTTCAACACATACATGCATGCACATTCTCAACATCCTCTGATATGTTTAGAGAGAAAAGAAGGCATTTCAAGCCCCCCCCCGCTCTGAAAACAAACACGTCATAGTCTGCAGACAAGGGGACAAATATCGGCCACAATAAAGCCTTATCTGCGCAGATTTTATCTGGTAATCCGTCACAATGACTAAATCTTCAGTCAATCAATCTAGCGTGTATACAGAAATTATGGTTAAAATGTTTGTGTTTCATACAGCATTTCTTGGTTATTATACAGTATATTCTGAGGACCTGCTGCATATTTAGGGGTCATTTTATGTGAAGAAGCACTGATTGTTTTGGTAGCACACTGGGTGGTCTCCATGTAAATGTTCCTCCAACGGTTTCATCGCCTGTTACATCAAGTGGTGCATTCAAAGACCTACAAAGTGAGACGAGGCCATATCTATATTATGTTTTAAATAAACTTCCCTTCTAATAATGAGAAGCTTTTACTTCTTTAAAGCCCTCTCTGCTTGGGAGTTTGATATATTATTTGTGCTGACGGAGTGAAGACGTATTTGGTGTGAGTATGCCAAAAATAGCCCGGTTAATTATTTAGAGAGAGGAGTTTTAACCTTCGATAGCTTTTCTGTCGTTTTTGTTTCAGGCTCTCTTGTGCTGCAGGAAGGTCAACAATTTCCAGCAAAGAAAGGAATTGCATTCTTTTTATTTCATGGATAAACAAAGGCCTTCCTCAGACTAAGGGCTGAAAGATGTGTCATTCTAGCTCTAAGCGGATTCTTTTCTATGCTGATAATCAGTATTATCTTGTTTTTCTTTTTTCCAACAGTCTGAACAAACCTTTGCGTGTCTCTGATGAGTCTGCTGGTTTGGGACAATATCAGTGTCTCAAAGACTTCCTGATCTGATGCATATGCAGCTACCCTCTGTGTCTAATGTCCAGTGTCAGAGCTTTTCAGATTGTCTTTCTCTGCTGGCGGTCTGATTTTTACATTCTCTAATAATATGAGTATTTGGGCTACTGACTATACTGACGAGGCTTTGTTATGGTTTGTTGTTGGGTCAAAGTTTAAAAACTTAATGTTTTAGTCAGGAGTTCCCGGTTTAACTGGCATAAATAACTTATTTTCCATATTCTCACTTCTTTATCTATAGTTTTTTTTAGTTAACATGTGTGAAAAGGGTTCTGTTACAAGGTTTGGCAGTGACTCCTATTAGCTAAAACCAAATCCGCGAGGGAGGGGGTGAGTGAGTCGTTCGACCTCTGAGTGAGGCCGGCGACTGCGATTCGTTCATGCTACGATTAAGGGTGACTGACTCAAACGTGCTGTTAGCAAAGCGATGCTACTGTGAGCTAATGAGCTTCCAGGTAAGAAAATGCTTTTAACAAGCTCGCTGTTGTTTCCTGCAGCAACTTTAATGGTGAGCCAGATATATTTCTACTAATGAAATAAGTTTGGTAACTGTAACATGCAAGAGTCAGTTAATGAGTCAGTTGGGGTTGTGAATCGTGATTGGTGAGTCAGTAAAGTGATTCTCTAGTATTGAATGATTTGTTTAACTCGCATGTCACTAGTATCCAGGGTCATTCTCTGTGTCTATTACAGATGTATGGGACAGTAAACTTCAGAGATAACATCCATGAAAGTGTTTCCTGATTGTTGCTTTTCTAATCTAAATTTGGGTAAATAAACAAATAAATAAGCAGAGAAATCCAAAGAAAAGTTATCCAACTATGTGTGTGTTGGTTTATTTCTCTGCTAAGGCTTCTTATTTTTAGGCTGCAGATTCTCTAAAAATGCTAGATTTTTGCCAACATGAAAGTGAACACTATAAAATTTGACGCAGCAACTTTCTCTTCCTTAATCAGTTTGTTTACATTTACCTGTGATATGACAGAGCAGAGCTAATCCACCTTAAATTATCATCGCTTCTTGTTATTATGCTATATGGTCAGAATGCTCGTGGCCAGGATGTGCCGATTGATTTTGTTCAAATACCAATATGGATCATTGAAGATATCTGCCGGTATTGAATCTGAATCAGTAAAAAAAAATCCTTGAGTTGGACCTCTCCAAACCAAAATGTCTTAAACTCTATTCAAATTCAAATTCAAAAATATTTTATTAATCCCAGAGGGAAATTAGTTAAAGGGATACTTTGCAATGTGTTCATATTTTGTAATCATTTTCTTGAGCCAGTATTTGCTAAAACGATCCTTTACAGGGTTCATGAAAGGCCACCTGTGGCCAGAATACCGCACTTACAACTTCAGACTGTTGGGCTGCTCTGTTGAGACTTGGAAAAAATTAAGCTGACATACCTGGCGCTGCAATCTGGTTCCGGCACACTTTCTGCATGTTTTAGATCATGAACACAGCTGATTTGTTTAATTTAGTGATGAATCACTTCTGTAGACACTCAGGAAGACTGGGGAAACATTTCAGCTGTTAGATTAAGGTGTTAAAAAGATGAATGCACAGCAATTAGGTAGGTTTTGCTTTTGGTTCTACAAACAGGCACCAGGGAGTGCTAAAAGCTAGCCAAAAATAGCCTAGTTTCCCTTTAACTGAGTCTGACATCGTGTCCTCCTTTCAGGCTGGTACGGTGAGGGACTCCATGGCCAAGTCCCTGTACGGAGCCCTGTTTGACTGGATTGTCTTCAGGATCAACCACGCTCTGCTAAACATCAAGGACCTAGAAGAAACCACCAAGGTAAAACTGTACAACACATCCACCATTAATACAAACATTTACGGCTACTGTTGTTCAAGTTGTTGTTGATTATTTGTGTGACTTTTTTAAAGTTGTCAACTTGAAAGAGAACATTTTCCTACATCTAAGATTCTTCAGTGTGAATTAGCCCTAATCAGCAGTTTAGCATGTTTTCCTTAGATTTTGTCCATCGGAGTGCTTGACATTTTTGGGTTCGAGGACTATGAGAGCAACAGCTTTGAGCAGTTCTGTATCAACTTTGCCAACGAGCGTCTTCAGCACTACTTCAACCAGCACATCTTCAAGCTTGAACAAGTAAGCGGAGACGTTTTTTCTTAATGCTGAAATTAACGGGAATTGCTTGATCTGCTCTGATGCTTTATTACTCAACCTTTATTTCAACACACTGCCAACATTATGCTTGTAATGTCTTCAAAATCCACCATGTTCATCATACCACACAATAGATGTGACTCAAACATCTCATTGTGTAATAGTGCTTTTTGTAGTGAACAGGATAAATCAGTTGTTTCTGCCCTGTGACCGCCCAGCTGTTGATATATCCTCTCTTAAGTGGGCTGATTACCTTCTAAAGGCTTTAAAGCCCTGATCTGTAAGATTTACCTGCAAGTTTAACCTGGTGTTTACCTTCAGATTGAATGAATCAGTGGCTTGCTGCAGCATGTTTGGGTCTCTGGAGCAGCTTTAAAACCTTCAAGCAGTTAGCGAATGACAACTTGACATTAAGCCCCCTCAGTCACTCCTGTATGCACAAAGCCATTTTCCCTCTACAAAAGACTGCTTTGATTTAAATTGCAGATATGCCAACAGAAGTTGCAATGCTAGTTTGCTTGTACATATAGCAAGTCACACAGTGTGATTGGGGAAGCGTGTGGTTCCTCACGGCACCAGGTAATTACAGAGATGATTTCCATTGACTTCCTGTGGAAACTTTAGCCTGCATTGAGCCGAACTACTGTGACAGCAAGCTGCCTTTAGGGACAGTTGTAATCAAGATATGGAGCCATAGCCAACAGTTTGAAGAATGACACAAGTATTGGTTTACCTAAAGCTTGCTGCTTCCGTACCTTTGGATCTTTTTATAATATGTTTCTATGGGAAATTGAAATACACTTACATGCTTTTCACGGATGTGAGTGTAATTGTTAGCAAGTACACATTTTATTTATTTTTTTTACAAAGAGTCTATGCTTGCAGCCCTTCACCCGGGTGTTGTTGATCAAATAGTCTGAATTCTGACTGATGGCAGCTTGTTCTTACTTAATTAATGCTCAGAGTTTTTGTTTGCCCACCTGCATCTTTAGGACTGACCACAAGTTCTCAATGGGATTAAAGTCTTGGTAGTTAATTGGAGTTGGAAATGAACCCACTAAGTCAGTGTTTTGTTCCCTGAGCTGCTTGGTTTTAGCCTTCACTTAATGTCACAGAGCATCATGCTGGAAAAGTCATTGATCATCACCAAACATTTGTTGGATTGTTGGGAGTTCCTCTGGGAGGGTGCTTAGTTACCATTCCTTTTTTCATCCATTTAGTTCAGTTTGGGTTCTGAGGCCAAACAGTGAGAAATGGTCCTGGTGCTTGATGGGCTTTTTTGACCTTTTAAAGCCTTGTTCACTAATGCAGTGGAAATTAGTTTTTTGGGGAGATTGAACAAACATCCCAGCTCTATTTTGGCATTGACATTATCATAGAGTGTAACGTTTTGTGACTCTTCAAAAAACAGTGAAAACACTGAAACATGCTGGCAGCGAAGGGCTTTTCTGATCAGGAAATGTCTGGAAGTGAATGAGTTAAGGGCAAAGAGAGTCTGTGATTAAACTTCTTAATACAAGAAGGGGCGACGGTGACACAGGAGTTAATTGCTTGCCCTGTTATCGGAATGTTGCAGGTTCGAACCACGCTAAGTTTGTCGCTGTCGTTGTGTCCTTGGGCAAGACAGTTAACCCGCCTTGCTTACTGGTGGCGGTCAGAGGGACCGGTGGTGCCAGTGCTCAGCAGCCTCGCCTCTGTCAGTGCGCCCCTGGGCAGCTGTGGCTACATTGTAGCTCATCCCCACAAGTGTGTGAATGTGTATGTGAATGACTGATTGTGTTGTGAAGTGCCTTGGGGGGTTCCAGGACTCTTAAGGTGCTATATCATATACAGGCCATTTTATAACACTTAAAGGGCATACTATGCATCTTTTTCTCATTTTAAAATGTTTTTCTTCAGCCATATGTGTTAAAATGACCTTTTACAGGGTGAATGAAATGTCACTCAGATCCTCACCCCCCTCTGTGGCCAGAGCATTGCAGTCATGACTGTAGGTGCATTTGATTTTTAGCATAACTGGGACCCAGTATTTTTTAGTATTTGCTTTACCACTTTGTACATTTTAATATCTGTTTCATCTTCAGCCTTATAAGCACAGATGGAAGTCTGCGAAAACAGTTTAATGTTTTTGTTGTTACTTAAATGGCATTAGTGTTTACTGTCTGAACAGGTCTGTGATGCTAGTTTTCTGTGGTTTACTTTTTTAATTAATCAAAACATAATATAGATATTGACATTTACATTTCTGGTATTTTTAAAGCTTGTTCTGCTAAAAGTTGTGCTCCAACATGTAGCTATAGCTGCACAAAATACTAAAAATCAATGCAGATAAAATATTTAAAAGAATGGGGGAAAAAATGGATCTCCACTGGGTTGAATTGTCTAAACCTGGTTTGCTCCATATTTCCAACAAAGCCAGCTACACACCCTTGTCTACGGTTACCAAATATTTCCATCCATCTGTCAGCCATTGAGTCACCATGGTGCAGCCCAGAGAATCTGAGTGGTTTGCTTAAGGGCACGTTGATGGTCATTTTAAGAGGGATTTCGTCTCCATTTCATCCTCCTTTCCAATTGGCCTTTCTGCCAGTAATCACATTGTGGAGGAAATTTGAGAACATTAGCATTATATCTAATGTAATACAACATAATCATGTTTTAGGTTGGCTGTTCAGCCGTTTTGGTCAGATTTGAGCCAAAGTCCTGCCTCATTTCTCCCGTCAGCAGAGATTCTTTAAAAATGTTTCCGTGATGGTAAAATATGTTTTCTGTTGAAGAAAGGATAGTTTCACTCAGCTTAACATTTTCCTTTTGCCTATTTGTTGTTGTAGCAAAACTTCCTGTATTAAATTTCTGATTGATTTGAAACTTCTCACACAAATAACACACATTTGATTTGACTAAAGATTTGTAACTAACTGTAAACACAAAACGTAGTCTCTGTCTCCCCGCGCTGGCACTGCTCCCTGATTACTTCCACATCAGACTCACCATAATGATCCAGCTGTCAGACCCATTTATTTAATGTGGATTCATTCTGATTTACACACCTGTGTAAAATTCACGCCGTCAAATCAGCACCTTGATATGCCACAACTGTGAGGTGAGATGGATTATCTTGGCAAAGGAGAATGCTCACTAACACAGATTCAGACAGATTTGTGAACAACCTTTGAGAGTGCTGAGTCTTTTGTGAGTATAGAAAATGTTTCTGGACTTTGAATTCAGCTTAAGAAAATGGGACCAAAAACAAATGTTTATACTTTTGTTCAGTGTAATAAAAAACGTATTATTTGTATTGAAGATCTGGAAGTAGCACCTTGCATTGGTGAGTTCATGGACCAGGAAATCATTTTTCTAAGATTTGCTTCTGGGAAAAGATGCATTCATGGACAAAAAACAAACAGATTTTCTTTATTTCAGATTGGCTGACCACAGGTTAAGCCAGTCATACTGAACATTGATCACCAGCTGAGTTTTTGGTGCATTTTAGTTAGATGTCGGTAATTAATTCATATACATATGAGTTTGCACTGTAAATAAAATATAGATTTTATGGTAAAACGGCGGCAGCTGGGGTTGACAGAATGGTATCGTAAAAAAATTACTGACACAATTTTTTTTTATGGTAAGAACGTATTTTTATTGTTGTTTTTACAGTTAAAAATGGTACCGAACTCAATATTTTACTGTAGTAAAAATGTTTTTACTTGAATAAAAAACATTGTTTTTCTGTAAAATGAACATGAAAAATAATCCATAAAATAGAATTTGTCCCACTAAAAACACCTTTTTTCCCACTAAAACCAAAATTCAAAGGGTTTTTCCTCAGTATGCACAATCACCTTTCACTGTTCAATTCATAGAATCTAACAACCAACAAACTGTCATTAAGGCCCCAACCGGATATAATAGCTTTGCTTGCTTGATTGCTGTTCATGTCATTCAACTGTGCTTGCGTGTAAAATTTTAGCAGCTAAAGAAGTTGAGTCGGTAATGACATCTGTACTGAACAGCAGCAAAGCCTTCATGTGCATTTGGTTCAGCCAGACCTGACCTAAATGCTGTTAAGCACATTGGGAAACAGAAAGTAAACTCCTTACATCATTACCAGCCATTAAAAGCTGTATTTTTTTAAATAAATAAATGTAAAAATCATAGTGTTTTGGCGTTATAAACTTTAAGGACATTTTTCATCACAAAACAGTGCAAGAGTGCTTTACAGTAGGATTATGTATTTTTAAAGAAAATATGTACAAGTTAGAATTTTCGCCAATTTTTTTATGGCAACTTCACATCAAATCCACAGTTTTAAATAGTTTTATATTTGACAGGTTTTTTCTGTCATGGTTACAGTTTCCTCATTCTGTTCATAACTTTTATGGACAGGATTCTAGGCGCAGCCAAGGTGTTGAGGGGGTCCATTTTGGTGGCCTGAGAATCGGGTCTCTGCTTTTTGCAGATGATGTGGTCCTGTTGGCTTCATCAGAACAAGTTCTCTGGCTTTTGCTGGAGTGGTTTGCGGCTGAGTGTGAAGCAGCTGGGATGAGAATCGGCTCCTCTAAATCCAAGAAACCTGATCTATTACGGTAGCGCGACTCGGGTTGCGAATGACCACAGTCACCAATTCTTGTCATGTGTCTATGTATGTATGTCTGATCTCAGAATTGTGTGTACTGAAACTCTAATTTCCCTCAGGGATTAATGAAGTATTTTTGAATTGAGTTTAATTGAAGACCATCTTCTTGAGTCAGAAAAGGGTGGAATTCCTTCTCCAGGTCAGGGATGAGGTCCTGCCTCGAGTGGAGGGGTTTAAGTATCTCAGGGTCTTGTTCACGAGTGAGGGAAAGCTGGAGCGTAAGATCAACAGGCGGATTGGTGCTGCGTCTGCAGTAATGTGGGCGTTGTACCGATCTGTCATGGTGAAAAGTGAGCTGAGCCAGAAGGCAAAGCTCTCAATTTACCGGTCGATCTACGTTCCTACCCTCACCTATGGTCACAAGCTTTGGGTAGTGACCAAAAGAATGAGATCACGGGTACAAGCGGCCAAAATGAGTTTTCTCCGTAGGGTGGCTGGGTTCTCCCTTAGAGAGAGAGTGAGAAGCTCAGTCATCCGGAAGGGGCTCGGAGTAGATCTGCTGCTCCTCCAACTCGAGAAGAGCCAGTTGAGGTGGCTCAGACATCTGATTTAGATGCCTCCCTGGTGAGGTTGTCCGGGCACATCCAACCGGGAGGAGACCTAAAGGAAGACCCAGGAAACGCTGGAGGGGCTATCTCTCTCAGCTGGTCAGGGATCGCCCTGGAATCCCCCGAGATGAGCTGCCCCAAGTAGCTGGGGAGAGGAAAGTCTGGGCCTCTCAACTTAGGCTGCTGCCCCCGGATAAGTGGAAGAAAACGGGTGGATGGGTTTTATGGTTTTTCACTGTTAAATATATGGCAATTTTTTACAGCAATAATCTGAACTGAAGCAGGGTGGATATGGCATAACTCTAACCATACAGTGGTCAGGGTATTGACATCCAGTAACGTACGGCACAAACCACAGCTCAGTGATCACCAGAACGTTGAGTCAGCTCCCTTATGACTCACTAACTGAATATTTTCTGCTTCATATACAGTATTTGAATTCTGGGACCTTTAAATTGTGTTTCACTGTGCAGGGTCCTCATGTCTTTGTTTATTGACTCAGTCAGAACCGTAAATTTCTGAAATGTTGATGTAAAAAGCTACACTCATTCAGTCCTCTGTAATAATTCATAATGTGAGCTAAAAAAATTATTTTTACAAGATTTTGTACAAGCTTCAAATCGTTGATGGAATAAATTAGGTACTTTTGTAATTTTTATGAAAATGCATTTTTCCATTTTTGCACAGCTGTTTGACATATAAGCCTTTCTTAGATTATTTTTCTGTGAACATCACTCTTCAGCAGTGATAAAAGAATGTTAAGTCACTTCATTTAAAAAAGTGATATTTTTTATTAAACATCTGCTGGATTAAGGTCTTTATTGGATTTAAATTTTTCTCTGGAAGGCAGAAAAATATCCTGAATGCAGAAGAAGCAGAAATGCTCTAAGTGCTTCTCTCATGAATAAACCACGAAGAGTTCAGTCTGCAAACATTAAAGAAGCAAATAAACTTTGACGCTTTGATTATGATTTTATGATGAGTTTATAAATGTCCTCATATATGAATCATTTCTGAGTTAAGGTGGTATGGATGAAAACTGATATTGAAAAGATTTCCTCCAAATCATTAAAAGTTAACCAACATTTCTCTGTAGTAGCTCGTGGGTTAAGGTGGCACTAATACTGAGGCTTATTTTATGTGACCCTGCAGGAGGAATACCGGGCGGAGGACATTACTTGGCGAAACATTGATTATATTGACAACACAGGTTGTATCAACCTGATCAGCAAGAAGCCCACGGCG